TTTTTCTTCTTTAGCGAAGCTCCTGTATAAATTGACGGAAAATCAAATTAAATTTTCTTGGAGGAAGGAATGTCAAGAAACTTTTGTACAATTGAAAAAGATATTAATGTCTTCTCCGGTACTTTCTTTTCCATGTGATGTAGGGAAATTTATTTTAGACACAGATGCTTCTAATATGGGAATTAGTGCAGTCTTGTCACAAAGACAAAATGGGAAAGAAACAATCATAGCTTATTTTAATCGTGCTTAATAAAGCTGAGAAAAATTATTGCATTACCCGTCGAGAACATTTAGCCATCACGGATTTGGTGAAATCTTTTCACCATTATCTTTACGGACGAAAGTTTTTAATCCGTATAGATTCGTTTCGCTTAAATAGTTCGCTATTATCTTTCAAGAATTTGGAGGGACAATTGGCACGTTGGCTTGACAGATTACAATATGAATTTGAAATTATTTATCAGAAAGGTTGGATTCACAATAATGTCAATAGGTTATCGAGACGACAAATTGTAATTGTGAGGCGATCAATTGTAATTATTGTGCAAAAGTAGAAGTAAGAGAAACTTTTAAAGAAGAGAAATTAGTTGGACTGATTTTGGAAGGAGAAAATTTTAAGGAATGGAAAAACGATCAGGAAGAGGATTTGGAGGATTTAGGAGTCATCTGTCGAGGCAAAGTCGCAGGGGAGCGCCCTCCTTGGAGATTGCTTCTAGGAGCACTCCCAAAGTTAAGAAAATTTATTGGAGTTATTGGGATGTCCTCGTTTTAAAAAATGGCGTTCTTTATAAGAAATGGGAAGCTCTGAATTTAAAGATAAGCATTCTTCAACTAATTGCTCCTCGAAAACGGATCGGGCACATTTTGAAAGAAGCTCATGATGCTTCGACTGGAGGACATTTTGTTAATAAAACATTTTGGTGTTAATAAAATAAATTGGATAAAATTCGGAGGCGATTTTATGAGCCTCATGTAAACGGAATGTAGAGGATTGATGTAAGTCCTGTAAGGTTTGTGTTTCCAGAAAAGGAAACCCCCCCTTCTGGAAAAAGAAAATCGCCTTTATAAGTTTATAATGTTGGTTCTCCTTTCGAAAGGATTCAGATGGATATTTTAGGACCAATCCCTTCCAATCATTCAGGGAACAAATATCTTCTTGTAATTGTGAATTGCTTCTCCAAATAGAAGAATAGGCGTTGCCATTGAAGAATATTAGAGCGAAGACTGTGGCAGATGTCTTCGTAAATCAGATAGTCTCAAGTGAAATATCGTTAGAAGTTCACACAGATCAGGGAAGAAATTTTGAATTTTGAATTGAAAATGTTCTCGGAGCTGACACACTTGCTCGGGATTAAAAAGACGAGGATCACTACTTTTCATCCTCAGTCGGATGGGTAAGTTGAACATTAGCAAACAATAACAAATTATTTACCTAATTTATGTCTGAGAATTAAAAAGATTTGATTGATTCCTTTATATTTGATGGCATATAGATCTTCAAAACATGAAACTACGGATGTCACTTCTGCGGAAATGTGCTTTGCTCGAGATCTTAGGTTACCTGTGGATTTGTTGAGAGGAAATTCTCTAGACGTTCAGGAAAGTAATTCCTGGTAGGTAGTTATATAAGGAAATTTAAAGGAAAATTTGAGCATATCCATGATCCAGCTAGAGAAAGAATGGAAATACAGTTTTCTCGAGCCAAGATTTGGTATGATCGGAAGGTTTGTCAAATTCATTTTGAAGAGGGACAAAAGGTATGGTTCTTCAATCCTCGAAGAAGAAGAAAAAATGCTTCCAAGTTGCAGTGCAGCTGGGAAAATCCCTATAAAGTAATTAAGAAACTCAGTGATGTTGTCTTCTACATTTAAAAGTCAGCTAGGCATAGGAAGAAGATAGTTCATACGAATAAGTTAGCTTATTTTTCCGAGAGGCAGCTAGGGGAAGTATGATTTATTTTGTAGGAAAAACGAAGCCAGAGCTTGTATGAATTTTGTTGGAATAACTGATCTTTAAATTATTCTTTTAAAAATTATGTTCTGTGTTACTGCGCGAGTTTATTTATTAGGTGTACAAAAAAGTTCTGAGCTTTTTTTGTAAAATTCAATCTTTATTCAAAAACAAACAAAAAAATATTAATCAGCGAAATATTCCCCGTTTGCATCAATGACCTTTTGCCATCTTTCGGGTAGCTTGCGAATTCCTTGATGATAGAAGCTCACCGGCTTCGAAGCAATAAAGTCATCAATGCATTTTCGTATCTCTTCAAATCTCACGAAATGTGTATCAATTAAATGATGCTGCAGCGACCGGAATAGGTAGTAATCGGAAGGCGCCATGTCTGGGCTATACGCCGCGTGCGGAGAAGTTCCCAGCCTAACACAAAGATATGGTCCTGAGTCGCTTTCGCAACATGTGGTCGAGTATTGTCATGAAGCAAGATCACTTTACGATGTCCTTGGTCAATAAATGGCCTCTTTTCTTCTAATGCATCGCTCAAATTGGCCAATTGTTGTAGCGGTCTGCCGCGATTGTTTCACCCGGTTGTAACAACTCGTAATACAACACACCTTTCCAATCCCACCAGATACAGAGCAAAACCTTCTTGGGGGAGATATTGGGCTTTGGCGTCGATGTCAAAGGTTGACCAGGGTCAACCCATGATTTTCTACGTTTAGAGTTATCATAAAGAATCTACTTTTCATCGCCTGTAATGATTTTGTACAGAAAATCTTTTTTCCGGAACTTTGAAAGCAAAGTGAGTGCAGTGTCACGCCGACGATTTTTGTTGTCTTCGGACAATTCATGCGGAACCCATCTGCCTTCCTTCTGAACCTTTCCCATCGTATGTAAACATACGGAAATGGTTTGCTGCGTAACGCCAAGCTGTTCTGCAAGCTCCTTTTCAGTTTGCGCAGAATTTATATCCAGCAGTGCTTGCAATTCGTCCGTTTCAATCTTTTGAAGGCGTCCAGCACGCGGTTCATCTTCAAGACTGAAATCTCTTTGGCGAAACTTTTGATACCATCTTTTACATGTAGTATGACTTACAGCGTTTTCATAAGCAGAATAAATCATTGCAGTGGCTTCAGTAGCATTTTTCTTCAGATGAAACGCGAAGTGGATGGAAAATCGAATATGCTCTTTTGTTATTGCCATCGTGAACACTACTGATTTTTGAGGTTATGTGCATCAAACGCCAAACTGTATGGCATTTTAGAAGGCCAAATGTCAACGCTTTAAAACCGCAAAAGAGCGGGAAGATATATAAAATTTAAATTGTTATTTCGGTTGTATGAAATCTAAAGCTCAGAACTTTTTTGTACACCTAATATTATTATGTTTTTTATTAT